CAACCCATCGAACTATCCTTCCAAAGTTGTGAAAATCTTGCATTGATTTTCCGACTTAAATGCTACGTAAGCAATTACGTTTTCAAATCGTACTTATTTTACGATTCTTACTGAGCTTTTGTTTTTTTTTTGTTGTATTTCGTCTTTAATATATTAAATTTATATCCGCCTGGCAATATAGACACCAAAAAATGTTAACTGACTTAGAAAAAAAAAAAAGAGAAAAACGAAAATAATTTTTATCCCTGTTTTATACTCCTTGCTGGAAGGACAATTTTTACTGAATTCCTGCGATAAGAACGTGACCATTTTCGTTCAAAAATGTACTTAATCGTTTTTGGATATCAACTCAAGAAGAAAATTTGATTTTCATTGTTGTTCGAATTGTTATGGGTAAATAAATTTTTTGCATTTACCATTTTAGTTAAAATTGGATAGGAGAATCTACGAAATGCGGACAAAAAGCGTTCGCATCACATGCACGTAATCGATAAGTTACCTAACAGATATTTTTTCTCGTTTTCTATCGGAAGCAAATGGCACATTTGCACAAATTGGATTAAAGTTTTTACTTTGACTAGGAATTCCTTCACTTCCTCTCCGCTTCTTGACAGTTAAATTTCGTTTACACCTTAGAGCATTTGCACGTGGAAGCTTCAATGGAGTTGGTGTTTCAGGACGAGGCATGAAATGTATGAAAATAGTTAATGAGTCGCATTTGTGTCACTATAAATAGTGTAATTACATATATGGTTTCAATTATAATTCAAAGATGATTTGAGATACCCGTAATTATCTGGTAAATTTCAACATTTCGAACATTTATTGAAGTACAAACTAGACTCTAAGCCTCATTTCCTTACCTAACATACTGCATATTATCAATTCATCAATGCAACGAAGTTGAATGCATCTTCACATATTCATATTTCTCTACATATTTATATAAAGGACTGTCGAAATACTCACTTCAAAGTGTCGGTAACTGCTTTTGTGTGCCTTTTGTGGCATTTAATGTAAAGCCACTAATCATAGGTTTCTACTATATCGAAGAGTATCAATGATGATGGGTTGTGATTTCGCTTCATTTGTCTATATATATATGAAAATAATTATAATTAATACTGTTGACTGTTTATAGCGATAACTTTAATCTTCTTCTAGCAAGTTCCCTCCAACTGTCATCAAAATTGTTATTGATAATGTGATTGTTTTCAGTTAGGGATGAATTCTAGTATCTGTGCATTCAGAGTACACTCATAAAAAACTAAATATTAATGCGTATAAATTTTTTTTTATACATTACTTATATGCACTCACATGTGTCATAAAAATAATTTATAAGTATATTTTTTAACGAATGCCGGTGCTAATAAGTCAGTATATGCACCCAAACCCGTTGGTTACACACGTGAGGGGAACATCATGTCCAACACTTTTACAGAGCTGAGCAGAAAAACGTGGAGAGACGATTTAGATACGTATATGTAGGACACACATTTCTATTTGAAGTCACACATTTCTATTTGAAGTATATGTTATGTATATTATATGTCCGTACGCGCCTTTCTTTTTTCCGAACATAGTAATAATTTATTTCATTTTTATTCCATTAATTTTTGTGATTATTTCACAGATCTGTGAAAATTATAAGTTATTGTATTTCAATTGTAAACTGAAGTTGTAAAGTCTTTAAGCAATACTATAAATTTTAACACTGGTTCGTTTAAGAACTTGCAACAGATAAACTGGCGATCAAAGAATCAAAGAATATCCGAACATTTTAAACAAGATTGGTCAAATGAGTCCTCTTGTCAGATCTTCATATTGTGCTGGCCTTAACTAGATAAAAAATGCACCAGGCAGCTGTTTCAACTAAGGTGTAATCTGCTTAGTACTACGGTAGCGATGCTGATGGGTCACTGCTTAATAGGAAGACATGCTATGAAACTGGGTCAACATTATAATAACTTTGGTTGAGGTAGTGGTTTTACGAATGATGACGAAACTGTGCTTCATCTTATGTGTCAGTGTTCATTTTTAGCTAGGAGTGGATTTAAGACCTTCCCTTTTCTTACCGATCTAACAGAGTCCATCGTCCTGCAAAGTTATGGACTTGAACAAGTTCATAGTATTGTCAGGTTGATGCGTCTTTACCTGCCTTTCTGCGTTGCTCGTACGCTGACTTTGAGTTGGCCTAACCTAACCTAACACTATATCTTAGTCGAATGGAATTTTAGATAGTCTTATTTTATTTAATTATTTTTTTTATCAAAAAACTATTAAAAATTTGTCTCATACAATTATTTTATTTAAAAACTAATGGTCAGAACACAAGTTGGTAATAAATAAGTAAAAAAGTTTTAAAGAATATAATAAGATAAAGATTGAACAATATAATATGATTTTTAGAAATATATATAGAGAAAGTAATACTAGATATAGCAATATATTTTATCAAGTCTAAATTAAATAAAGAAATTGAATAAGATAAGTCCAAATATACTATCCAAGACTACATATGTGTAGATTTCGAATACTTAAAATCAGTGAGTCACAAAGAAAAGTTCAGTTATATATTGTCTATTATATGTACTCGAATGTACTAGTAAGTATATATTAGGTATATAATTTGAAATATGTATTTCCCATCTTATTACATTGAATTCTATGTATCGAAGTTCAACCTCTCAAAGTGTTGTAATGTCCATAAGGCAGATGGAGGCTATTATGTGCCGAAGTTTTATGAGTGATTGTCTTGATTATTGGTACCTTTACGGGATATGGGTAATAGAATGGTGTCACCACTTGTTTTTGTACATAATACGGTACCCGCTTTTCAACCAAATATGGAACAGATTGTTGAACCGGGAAAGGTTTAATTTTTTCGATTGGAATCTTAATTTCCTGTATTTGTGGTACTGTTACCGTCTTCGTCACCGGTATTTTTATGGGTAGAGGCCGTGGCACAGTTGTTATAACTGGGCGTGGTATTTCGATATTCACGGTTTGATTGAAGGGTACCTGAACTTGATGATATTTCGGTATCGGCACGAACTTAGTGACTTGTACATGTTTGCTTAGCGGTGTCCCGGCCAGAGCAGCTGAGCTTAGTGGCGTGTGATGCACCGTTGTTGTAATAGGTGGCAACCCCTTTGTTGTGGTGTGAAAATGCTGTGCATTGTGTGGCTGAGGTGCATAATTTGTGTTAATGTGTTGCGGATTTATGTTGTGCTTGTAGTAGTGTTCTTGCAAATGTTGCAAATGCTGCAAATTGTTGTTATGGTTGGCACTAATCTCATCGCCACGGGTATAATAATATTGCGTTTGCGATGGTGATTGCGAGCTATCGGCGAATTTCTCATTATTAATGACATGCAAATTATTATTAGTTGCTGATATTGCTGTTGGTGTTGTTGTCGCTGCTATTGGTGCTGTCATAATATTTGTTGCTGTCGGCATTATATTGCGTCCCATATTATCCGCTAAATGCATTTGCATACGCAAAGGTGTAACGTTGTGACCATCATCTTGTCTGAGGGAACTGGCATCAGTAACGGTTTGTTGTTGGTGCTGCTGAAGTTGTTGTTGGTGGAGTTGTTGTTGGTGAAATTGTTGCTGCAACTGCTGTTGCAAGTTTATTAACTGCTCCTGCAGTTTCTGCTTTTGTAATTGGTCTTGCCTGTGTAATTGCTGATATTGCTGTAATTGTTGTTGTGATTGCAGTTGTGCTTGTAATTTAGTTTGTTTTTGCTGTTGCTGAAGCTGG